CCCCCCGGCCTTAGACATGTTTAAGACTGAACCCTTGATTGACGTCCACCAAAACTCAATTTTTCGTTTGTGATTTTGGTCTCACTTGCGTGCGACTTGGAATCGCAGTAAGTCTTAGATCAAGCTATTAAATATGAAGCAGCCATGTGAGATGAAAACCATGAAAACCAAGTAAACGATCCCTTGCTAGTTTAGTTAATATTCAATCATTGGTTTAAAAGTATCACATTACGGCCTCGTGGTAGTAGTCTAGAGTACAAGAGGGAGGAGAGAGGTATGTAGCCATGTAATTTCACTGATTTCCCCCTATAATAAGCAATTAATTAATTGAGATACTAAATAAAATGTATAATAAAGTATAGTGACTCCGACGAAGGACTAGCGTCCGAAACGTCGGTAATTGTTTTCATCTTTTCACGGTGTAAAATTTACCTTTTTATCATTACTGTTTCATTAGAAACACCGACGCAGCTCACACTAGTTGTTAACTAGTTATCTCTTATTAACTGATTATAGTTAATTATATCTACTTTATAATTAATTCGTTGGATCGCAGTATAAACTTTCCTCTACAACACCAAAGTGAAGCTAGCGTCGAATTGACAGCCTGTCGGATTCAGGCTGATTGAGATTCATAATCATTTCCCGGGGATGTCAGACAGGTCGTTCCATTAAAATCCTCTCTGTTCCCCTAACGGTTGCTAAATCACAAATAATTTTCGATTAAACTACATACCCTGGTTTCTATTCATGATATTTTATGGTCTTTAGCAAAATATACTTCCTATTTTCAACGAATTTACTGATTTTACCCTCAACCTCGGGTTGGACTCGGATTACAAGTCACGTTTAGAAACATTCAACGACAGAATTTTTTTATAAACGACTCTTAGGCCCCGTCCACACGTTTCCGGAAATTTTTGTATCCGCAATTTTTTTTTGCGTGTGGACGCAACCCGTATCCGCAAAAAAAAATTTGCGGATACCTGTGGACGTGGCCTTGTAAGAACTCACCGTACGCGGCGAGCACTGTGACTGTTTCATGTTCTGAGGACTCGGTTTGAACGAACGGTGATTGGTTTAAAGGATCGATCATCCATGATGTCGTCAATTATGTACCGTGACAACCGTGTGCCTTCTATTTTCGGTCATACGACTGGTACCATTTGTTTTGATATTCATGTTATTTTTTTTCTCGTGTTTCAGACGCGCGATCAAAAGAATTCCCGCCATCTACTATAAATCAGTAGTTTATCAGAGGCCCTTCAAGTTTTTTTCTTGAAAAAAAATACAATCATGTTTAGGAAAATATGGCGTCGTCTAACAGCACCGACGTTCAGTGTCACGACTAAAGTAAACCACGACACGTCAACTGGTGTTCTGATAGCAGGACAAAGAACAAAGATTTGCACCATATTTATTTGCCTTCACAGTGATCGCATATTTGGAGGGCGGCAAGAAGATATTGATTTTCCACGACCTTCCTTAAATAGCGTACCTCCAGGAGTTCAAGTCAGTTACGGCGAAGACAGGCGACCCCGTCGAGAAGTACTGGAGCTAGATGTTTATGTTCAAGTAACGTCAGCTGGGACATATTCCATAATCCCTGAGTTCCCTGAAGGTCGTTACAACTTTAGATCAATTGACAAGAAAGCTGTTAATATCGACGTTAAGCCATCAGAATTAAAGTTCGTCGAGGTCAGCGGTATAGCACCAATTCCTGGACATGGCAAGGCTGGTAGTGTATATCGAGGGGGCACCGTCGAGATTCATGTGACGGGCAAGGACGAATTTGGAAATAAAACTGTTGAAAGTAATTTAAGATTAAACATAGTTCCTGATAACTCCTTCGTCTCTTTGATTTCAACTACTCGTGATTTGCAGAAAGAGATATACATTGTCACTCTGCGTTGTAATAAAGTTGGTATAACCTCCTTTGATTTGCTTGATCCAACACAAGTTCATCATCCGGTGGTGAAAGTAACAGACTTGACAATCATCACTCCTCCAGCTTGTCCCGCTAATTCGTATATCATTCACAACGACCTCCATACCATAGAAGAGAAAATTCACGAGGCTGGCAAAGCGATAATGTTTAAGTTGGCGCTGTTTGACATTTTTGGGCACCCGTTGACATCTTTAAATGAAATTACATCGAATATTCATCTTACCTGTCTTCATGACTGTGATACAAACTTGTCTTGTGGAGATGATCAACGCATCATCGAGATTGCAGCTGAAAAACAGGACGTACGAGTCTTGACTGAGAAGGAAGTTGATTCCCACAAAGTGAGCTCTCTCGATTTGGAAGTCCCTGCCAACATTTGTCAGCTTGAGTTTACTCCTCTCGTATCTGGACGAAAACGTTTCCTTTTATTTCTATCAGAGAAGGAAGTTAAGAATTCTCCAATCAAGATAACTGTTGTACCAGGTCCTTTGATCGAATTAAAGATCTTTAGTCATGAACCTCCAACAACAAATCAAAACGTTGTTATTTCTTACCCGAAGGAACAACGAGTCGTAGTTGTCAAAGGAATAGATGCCTTTGGAAATAAAGTTGATCTTGACTTCTCCGAATGGAGGTTGGTCGAGACACAATTCGCGAACATGTTACAAGTGAAAAATTCTTTTCTTGACGAGAAAGCCAAGATGGTTTCATTTCACTACACACACAGTAAAAAAGGAAGATATACGGCCATTGTTAAATCTAAATTCCCTAGTAAAACCTACATCAAAGTTCCTCAATTTGTAATTGAAGTTGGTCCAGCTCCAATCGACCCTGAGAAATGTGATGTTCAAGTTTGTCAAGAACAGCCCATATTTACATGCCATTTCCGGTGTCTACAACTTCGTGTTTCGTTTGTAAGCTGTACAGGAGAGAGGTACGTCATCTCCCGCCCGGATATTGGCCATTTAAGTGTTACGGTCGACAACTTAGTTTTTGAACCTACTTTTAAACACAGCTCAAAGCCTTCTGAAGCTTGTCTCATACTTCCTGAGCTGAAAGAAGGCGGATTGAAGAAAGTCCAAGTGAAGTACAAGAAAACGTGTCTTGGTAGCAGGGTAACCGTGAATGTTGTTGGCTTGGTGCCTTTTAAAACGGATGACTATCTAGAAGTCAACCAAAATGAGGGAAAGATACTTTGCATTGGAGTGGCCCAAAAACATCTCTTTGGTGCAGACTGCGTAAACATTACAAACATTAACCGTATACTGGAGAAAGAATATCCTGATTGCAAGCTCTCCCATTACAATGTATCTCAAGAATGCGAGGGTCTTGCGGTATTTGATCTCAGCAGTTTTCGGCTGGAAGCACTCTGGAGAGTCTTCATACTTCTGTGTCTGCTTCTAAGAGGCACGCAGCACTTCCGAAACATGGCTAATGAGTTTGGGGACGAAAAAGAAAGATGGAAAGAAAGAGCAACTGAGGCATACTACGCTAAAAACCACCAAGAAGCCAAAGAATGTAAAGCTATCAAAGAGAAGTATGGAGAGTTGATGAATGAGAGTCACAGACTAGCGTCCGACGCGATTTTTAACTTCTACAACTATGGCCGTCCCCAGAGTCAAATTGATCTTCATGGACAACTGGTTGGAAATACAGAAAAGTTAACCGCCTATAAGAAGCAGCTTTTAAGTAAAGGAGAAAGGAGTGCTGCTGAGGTTGATGCCATAATTGAAAGAGAACAACAAGAAAGAGATGAAGCGATTCGTAAACTGGATGAACGACTGAGAAATTTTGATCATGATGAAGCGAAACGAGWTGGTGAAGATTGGTTAGAGATTATAGACGGRGCAGGACATCACTCAGCAAGGAGAGGAGTACAGAAAATAAGACCAAAAGTAAAAGAATACCTCAGGAAGAAGAGTATAGAGTACGTTGAAGCGAACGAGGGAGCCCTGTTGATCACCTTCTCTGAATACACCGGTAGAGAACCCTGCGTAGCTGACTTCTACTGTAAAAGATGCAAGAAGACTTGGACAAGTGCGACTAGTTGGAAGGGGTTTTTCCAGAGATGTTACAGATGTGATTCGCAGGGAACTGACTCCAAATGTTACCCATTAAAAATGAGATCATTTCTTCCGCCAACCAGAAGACAACGAACAAACATTAACTTTACACGCACGGATCACATGAGACTTTGTGAAATGTGTGCTCGGCTTGGTAGAGACTGTAGGCCGTTACTTTAGTGATTACAGAATCAACTGGGGATCAAGGGTGGTGTAGCGGTAATACACGTATAATTATAATAAATAGAGGATATTACATGGGCGCGCGGAGATACGAAATTTATCTTTCAGTGTTGAAAAGATCTCTCACAAGTGAGCGCAGCGAACGAGTGAGAGTTTTACAACACGAGAAGATAAATTTCGTATCTCCAAGCGCCCATGTAATATTCTGTTTATTATATAATTATCAATGAAGTATGTTTTGGCTTTTTCAGGCAATTCTTTCCGTGTATTTTTGAATAGCCATCGCAATGGTGTTATTTTCACACGTGAAGATAACATGTTATTTTCACGTGTGAAGATATCAATTTTTCGAAATAGAGAAAAACAGATATTTCATAGGTAATTATATAATAATAATAATATAAGTTCTTATATAGCGCGTAATAAAACTCCCTAATAAAACTCGAGGCGCTTTACAATAAACTAATCTATTTATATAATATAAATAGTAATAAGTAATGTTTAATAAACGAGCAGGAGTGTTTTGTCGGGTATAAAACACGAGGCGTAGCCGAGTGGTTTTAGACCCGATAAAACACGATCTCCGAGCTTAAAAAACACATGATGTAAGTTCACACGATCTCCTATCTCCGGCCTTAAAAAACACATGATGTAAGTTGTCATGTTGTACCGAATTCTTTACGAATTGAACCAAGTTGGATAGAGAAAATCCAAGTTAAAGTTTATGCAAATGAAGACGAATCTATATCAGATATAAAACCTCCTTCACGGTCATGATGTTTATTGTGTTTCCTTCATGAATTATTTTTTATTTTTTTAAAGATGTATAAAATTCTAAGTAAAAGCTCATTTAAAAAGATATGTTTAACAAGTGATTTAAATTTCCCGATACACAGTTCATTCCTGATTTCAACAGGAAGAGCGTTCCACAGTTTAGGGGCCACCCAACTCGCAGCAAAAGATTTAGTTGCGTGACAAGTTGGATAGATAGGGTGTAAATCGAGCAACATTGTTTTCGAACTTGCACCGCAACAATGTTGCGCGACAAGTTGGACGTTGTTTTGTCTCGTATTTCAGCACCTTAAAACACTTTAATCGCATTTGCGAGGGTCTCCATTTCAAAAATTAACTGCCCATGCCCCCTCGGTGCTCTATCCCTCCGTGGCCGTTAGCTTCCCCCAATCAGAATAGTACGGTTGCATGATGGCGTCATTTGACTCCCACTACCAAGATGCTTTACGAATTTTCTTTCTTATTTAAAGTGGTATTACACACACACACACACACACACACACACACACACACACACACACACAAAAATGAGCATTTTGAAGCAAATTGTCAAAATTCAAAACATCATTAATTGTAATCTTTAATCACTTCTTAATCATATAGTTGATTTTCTCAATTTGCCAAAATGGCTACATGGTAAATATTTCAGACATGATATTCTTCTTGTTTTTTTGGCCAAATGCCACGAAATCAACTAGGAAATCTAACAATGTATGGTTCTAGGAGTTAAACCAAACAAAACTAAAAAATGTAAGAGATAAAGAAAAAGAAAAATTAATTTCTCTAACTTGTAGATTTTTTTGGATATGTTTTACTTAGTACCAAAATTCAATCTACAGTAGTGAGAAAAACTCACCTTTTGTTGGTTTGAGTCCTAAACAAACTATTTAGTAAAACAAATTGGGCATTTCTTTTGTCAGTACAAGGGCGCTAGGGCAAAAATTGGTGGTTTTTTAGCCGTTAGACTCCGTTTTATTGGTATTTTTTTTAGCCGTTAGAAACTGTTTAAACTGTTACTTATCTGTTCTGTTATGTGCTGGCTTGACTTTTTCAGTTTTCCCGTCTATATACGCCAAAAATACTGCTGTGACCAACGGTCCAATCGTACGTAAAGAAGTACTGTATCCTATATTTGCCTCGTGACCGCTTACGTAAGCGTACGCGTCGGTTAATAAATTAATAGGTTAATCCAAATCCCCTGAATAACCATTCTTGTTTTTTATTTTTTATTTTTTTGTCAGTGTGGTCTTCTCTATAACATGCAATAAAGTGTTTGTTGTCATGCTTTTTCAACAAAATGTTCATTTGATTTGTATAATCCCACCTTAAATTAGTATTCCTTCATGAGAGTAGCAAGACAATTGGTGCCCATCAACTGAACAAAAGAAAGTGTGSAAGGAAGTCTGGTAGTAAAGGTTAATGACGTCGTATTGCAAACGTCCCATTACGCTCCGCGGTCCCTGATAAGTAATGCATAGGCTTGAACAACTATTCAATGTTTGCAAGAAAAAAAGACTTCTAAGAAACCTTACCTAAGTAGTACCTGAACTCAAATTTCCATAACGATAACTGTTTTTCCCCCCAGCAACGTAACTTATTTATGTTACTATTTTTGACTTGAGTTTTGCTGAATCAGCAATTCAATTGTGTTAAAATGTAATGACACTGCAGAATATGTTTCAAAGTTTTCAAAGTCGGACGGAAATTTTGATAGAAGCGGAATGAAGCAACAAGTTGTTCAGATAGTATACACTTTCTGCATCCTTCTTTCGGCAAAAAAGGTAGGAGAAAAAAATATAACTATTATACACCACATTAACAGATATAGCCAGTTTATTACTTGAAGCTGTGATCATTCTAACGAGACCGAATAATACATGAATCACAAATGATCGCTTATTTAGACGGCGACTATTTAGTTCGTCTGTCTCGTAAACTTTGCCAGAGAAATGACTAAAACAGATCTAATTTGAATCGGTTTAAAGCTAGAAAAGTATGTATCTTACAGTCAAACAAGCTCACGCGTTGACCCCTAGAGTCGATTGATGATTTGAATTTTCGAATTTTGATTTCATTATTCAGTTGAAATTTGCAACGTCGAAAACGAAGATATGAAAATTCCAATCAACWTTAAATTCAATATACGACATTTTGATTGGTTAATCAGTGCTAACACAGGAAGACTAAGAAAACATGGCGGCCAGAAATAGTCTTGGCCGTGTTTATGTGCCGGGAAGGCCTTTACCTGATATTATTCGACAGGAAATTGTTCATCTCAGCAATAGCGGATTGTCCAATAAAGCAATTTCGTGACAACTGAAAATTTCTAGTTGGGGAGTCCAGAAAATACTTCAACATTATCGACGACATGGAACTGTGTCTCCATTTCGCTCAAGGCTGTAGTGTTCCCTACAAAATTTATCCTCCAAGTAATTGAGGCGTGGAAATTACAAAACCTAGTGTGTATGCTTATGAAATAAGAGAGCGACTTCTGCTCGAAGGTATCTGTAATTTAGATGATTTACCTTCTTCATCACGAGTCGAATAATGAACTGAATAATAATGAACTGAATTTTCATTTGAATATTGCAATATTGCATTGTTCCGGTTCGTACGTATAAAAGGAATAATTGACTAATGATTTCATTAATCGACTCTAGGGGTCAACGCTTGAGCTGGTTTGACTGTAATAACAAATCTATTAAGCAAACAAATTGCATCAAATATTTAGGAATTTATATTGACTCAAATCTAAGTTGGAAACCACAAGAAGAATATATTGCCAAAAAAATCAAACGCAGTATTGGTCTATTATCAAAACTTCGCTACTATGCGAATTCAAGGATTTTGAATAATTTGTATTATGCTTTAATTTACCCTTTCTTAATGTATGGTATAATAGCATGGGGAAATACCTATCAAACTACATTAAAACCTTTATATT